TTTTTTTAAATCTTTTTTTTTTTAATTATAAAAGTAAATAGAAAAATAATAAAAAAAAAAAAAAAATCAGGATACAGATTAAATAGAAATGTTTAAAAAGATCACCTTCATTCAAATATCTTACGAGTCAAATGTACAAATTATCTAAGGACCATGGGGGACAACTTTCATTTATTGAATTAAAGGCCGTTTCTTACAAAAAAATGTTTACCACATCAAAATGTAAATTTGTATTATCTATAAAACTCTAATCATAAACACGTTATTATACTTGTGTTTATAGATGTGTCTTCCATAAAGATGTGTGAGTGCTCAGCTAGACATTTGCACATAGACACAAAACAAAAAGGGAAACGCACTAGTGTAAATAAAAGCCTGACCCAGTGTCGTTATGAAAGAAATTGACTGCGATGAATTTTGTGTGGATTCAAGACACACACACACACATATAATAATTTGTGAGTAAGATAAGTACAATTAAGCTTTAATAAAATACCAATTTAAGACGATTCTTTTAAAGACATTGATCAGCACAACAAAGACGAAAACTGTTTGAATTTAAATAAATGTAGCGAAGTATCAATTTAATACCTCTTAAATTAGACAAAGGAAAAACTGTTTGGGAATGGGGCAGAAGTCTATTGCAAAATCAAACACTATAAGATATGGCAACAATGTAAAATAATAAATTCGTTTATTAACGTAATGGAGTATAGTTACATCATTAAATACATTATTTTTACTTTATTTGAGGTGACCTCCATCGACACCAACCCCCACAAAAAAAAAGAAAGTTTTTGAGCTGAAATAAATTAAAGTAAGTTCAGATTCAATACTACGTAAAAACCAAGAGTGGACAGTAAGGCCATAATTATTTACTAAAAAACATATTTAAAAAAAATTAAAAAGTTTCAGAAGTCAATGTTTTTATTAGCATATCAGAAATACTTGGAAACGAAAAACAGGTCCACATTCTTGATTTGAGTTTCTGGAATCTGTGGTTTTCAAGTAAATTGACAGGTTTTTAAAACATAATCTGACTGTAAGAGAAACTGTTTGAGTTTCACCATTGGTACACATTGCAGGTCACACAAATGTACTGTACTGTACTGTGGTCTTTGGCGTAGTGCGGATGGCTGAGGTAGACTATTCCATTCCATGAGATGTTATAGCCTGCACTGGTGACGAGAAAACTTACAATGAATTCATTCGCGAAGTACCTTACATTTTCAGAAGTGAATTGTATACTGGTTTTGATAGTTCCATTAATCCTGGCATAAAGATGCTTGTGGGACGAATGTCGAAACACGAGTATTGCAACGTCACTGCCATTTGGGGGTTGACTTTCCGTGCTGAGAGCCAAACACACCATGTCACTGGGGGTAATCACCTTAGCCCTCAGTTCAATCAGTTGCCCCATGTTGCTGGTGGTAATCAAGTTAGCCCTCAGTTCAATCAGTTGCCCAAAGTTTGCTTGTGGTAATCAACTTAGCCCTCAGTTCAATCGGTTGCCCTTGGTAGACCTCAGCTTGCATTCAGACCTCACTGTTAATAGAAGGGCTGTTTAAAATAGACGCTGGTAGAGTTGAGATCAATCCCTGTGACGTCAAGACACAATTTGCATGTGCACGTCATTCCACAATCGTAAACAAAAGCAGCACAATTTGAATATTTTTTGAGACAGTGATTGACGCATGATGATTGGCTGAAGGCTGTCGGAACATCGTAACAGTAGGTTGAAGAAATACACTTTTTGGATATGGACGAAGTTGGCAATAAACTGGAAATATCCGAGACATGATAAAAATCGTGAGCAACTCCACGACAATGACTCTGTCGCGAAGTATGGGCATGATGTAAATGTCCACAGCAGTAGAAAAGTTCTAGTAAACAAGTATAAATTAGTTAGCTTTGTCTCCTTTTTTAAGAGCTTACTCCATGTCTAACAGAATAACAGGTGATGTCATAATTAGTTTATTGCACTATATATTTACGACCTGTTCGAATAGATGTTTAGACAAATACACATCACGTGCTGAACAATTCTATTTAAACACGTCTTTCTTTCTTGAATGATTACTGTTTAAACGGGGTTAATTGAAGCATTGACTCTTTTTTTACAAGGTCCCATGACTATTGAGTATTCCGCTGAATTGTTAAGCCTTGAGAAAGTAAGAAGATACTGATTTAATGAACACATAAGAACCTCCGATTTTATAAACATATCTTTGCTACAAAGATCCTTTGTTGAGATATTTTCTATTATTTGATTGATTCTTGATAACAATCATCTTTTGACTATTCTGATAAAATGGACATTTTGATAAGAAAGATCGTTTGATCAGATGGATCGTTTTATAAGACGGAACATAGCCATGAGTTTTGGATTTGGGCAGTAATCTTCCTCTCATTGAGGAGGAGGCTTTGCGTCACCCCGTCCCCCTTTTGCCCAGTGAGTCTTTCGAGTCACCGCATGGTAGAGAGACCACTTTAGGAACAAGTGGCTTGGCAATTAGGCCACAGGAGAAACTGGACGACAGCTTTACTGAAAACAGCCGCGACCTTGCAAGAGCGACCCCTGGTGGGAACTAAAAAGAGGAGAACAGAGCCTCATCACCCAAATGAGAACGGGACACTGTGCGACACGCAGCTACCTCCATAGATGGAACGACAGAAGGGAACCAAACTGCCGATTATGCGGCCAGGCACACGAGACGGTTGCTCACTTGGTTATCCCGTGTCATAGTGGGGGGGGACGGGGGTGGACGAGAGAGACCCGGAAGCCTGCCTTGAAGATTTGCTTTACTGTAATGCCCAGATGAGGCTTGCCGCCAAAACCATAGCCACGGCCATAAGAGACTAAAGTCTCGGCCGAAAAGAGAATTTATATTTATAAGACGGACCATTTGTAACTTGTATATGTTATTGGATTTATATCTCGATATGATTGATCTTTTGATTAGGTGAATATTTTAGTAATAATATCTTTTGATAAGATAGAGATTTTAATATTGATTTAGTGATTGGAAGTTTTTTTTTATTAAGATAAAACATACATAAAATGGATATTACGACAAGAAATATTTTTTAAAATACATTTATCTTTGCATAAGATTCATTTTTTATATGGTTGATATTTTGATAATATGGATCTTTTAATAAGGTCTTTGGTACTGACTCGACTCTAATCAGTTGATTTATTTTTTCGATTAGCTTTACAATAAATCTATATTCGACAGATCCTTTGATAAGATCAACCTTGTTTCTTTTCTTTTCTGTTCAATGAAATGGATATGTCTTAATTGTTTCAGTTTGAATAACTTAAGATATAATGAGCAGATAATATTAAATGTAACAAATAAAATATTAATATTTTTCTTAATAGCCTTATACTACACCATTCATGATAGGTAAATTATAAAGTGTGTGACTGATGTAAAGAATTTAAATTAGTTTGTGCTCCCCCAGAATATAATTTCCTGCAACGAACAAATGTTGTTGATGATAATAACAATTTTACTTAATGTTATTGCTTCTGGTATTTATTCACGTTCACAGACGTTCATGAATATCTAAAAACCACGAGGGACAGAACACCATGAATTTGCATCACACCATTTTAGTAACTGATTGAAATACACAGCATGAAATAACATCCCTGTAAACTAGAGCAAATATAATGTCTTAACTTCTCCCACTTCACATTTGTTGAATCAACATTAAGATGCTGTTTGATATAAAAGTAATCCCACTTCCCATTTGTTGAATCAACATTAAGATGCTGTTTGATATAAAAGTAATCCCACTTCCCATTTGTTGAATCAACATTAAATGCTGTTTGATATAAAAGTAATCATAGCAAGTGCTAATAAAGAAAAATACTCCACGGCCA